CCACTTTTGGTTGTTATCCTCATTCCTGATCTGATTTTCATAAAATCCAAGTTGAAATCGGCCCTTTATATTCCCTACATTTATCTCTATACATTCTCTAGGGTATCCATTATTTAGACAAATCCGTGTCAGTTTGTGCAACTCCTCGTCCCAGAACTCTTTGTTTATTAGTCTTAAGCTTCTGATGATCAAACTCTTCACTATTCCTATCTTCAGTCTCTAATTATGATGAGACTGGAAATTAAGGATTATTTTCGCATACGAATTCTTTCTGTATAGTTTCCTCATGAGTGTCCCTCTAGAGCGTATGACTTCATCATGCAGAAAGGGTATTCGTTCATCTTCCTCCACCTCCATTGTAAACTTAATTGTATCATCAAGTTGGTCAATGAAATTTTTCTTACCATTTGACCAAAGTGCAAAGTAGTCGTCCAAGTATCGCAAGAGCACCCTTGGTTTCAGTGGTGGATTTGCTTGCCCTCACCACAACCGAGCCAGCAATTGCGACCTTTATTAACAAAATTGAATATCAAGGTAATAACAAAGGAGAAGAAAACACTTTTCACCCATCTACCAAAGCAACACGAGAAGACAGATAAACTTGAGTGTTCGGGAGTTTGTCGCATCAAATAAGACAACTGTGAGTAGAAGTATATCGGTGAACCAGGAATAAAAATGGCCTACAAATCAAGGAACATCAAAGACGCTGTAGGAACATGGATAAACAAAGATCAGAAATAGTGGAACACATTGCACGGACGGAGCACGAAATCGACTTGAAATTGACCGAAAGTTTGGCTAGATATGGTAAATATACGAGAAAACGCAAGATCCGATAGGCCATTGATATAATGACTCAAAGAAATCTAATTAACAGGAGACTTGAAGAAGACAGGGTCAGCGAAAACTTTGCATATTGCCTAAACAAACTAGGAGAATACCAGGCAACAGGTAGATCAGTAAAAAGAAGACGACTGGATCCAGGTAATATCCTTAATATTAGGAAAAGATTTCGCAAGGGGATGAGAAAGCAAGAATCAGAAGCAAAGAGGATACGTCTTCAATGAGCCTTATCAAAACAA